TAGACTCATGGAGTTTTGACACTGCTGAGTCACTTTTACTGAAGGTTGGGGGTTTTCTCAAATGGACACTAACTATACTTTTAAGAAAGAGAAACTTGTATTTACCCAGCATCTGCATGTACAGAGTTCTAAAAGATGGGCAACAGAGGAACGATGAGGCACGCACGCTTTCTAGGAGGTTAAAAAGGCTGATCATCAAGGACTAAGGGAGATGTTGTGTTCCTCAACAACGAAGGAAGCACACTGGGTTAGGGCTGAGTGTGTGAATGTGGGAGGAGTTGAGAAAACCCTCAGACTGTGAAGGACATGAGGATGAATTAGAGTAACTGACATGGAAAATGGAAAGGGGAGATATTTGAAATTAAGAAATATGCAGAAAGTTTCCAAGCACCACTGGGAATTCATGAGTTGGCTGATCAAATAATCATGGTAGTACCAATTTGGGAATCTGACATCTCCAAATAGAAGAAAGATAGGAACAGGTGGGCTGATCTGGGCTGCAGTGTTGCTATTAAAGGTAGGTCAGATGAACACTGCTGTTTAAGTGAAAATCCATGTGACCTCGGTCATCAGAAGAGGGGTCTATTTGGTTGATTGACTAGGAGGAAATCTGGATAGTGGTGCTTATCGTACAGATGCCCAGGACAGGGAAAGCCCTAGTTGCCTTTTATCTTAGAAGCTGGTCATGGGTTGAGTTCATGAATGGAAGTTAAGAGCTGGTAACAATCATGAAGAACTAGATGCTACTATGAAAAGCCTTTCTGACAAATAGTGAACAAGAAGTAACATGACAGCACTGGTTCAAAGTCACAGAACAGATGGCTTGGCACTAGTCTGCTTCATGTTTCCCTCAAAGCCCTGGTGGCACTTTGTCCCTGCATGAAGATCTGTAACAAGAAAACACTCAAAACTATCCAAGCTCTGGGGTTGCCCAATGGGGTCAGGTGTTACTCTAGTGAACTCTGAGGACAAGGAATACTTGTATCATCTGACAATTCATCTTTGCATTTGAGAGACCATCTGTGCCCAAACTAGACTCCTAAAAATAGACCAATAAAGTGGCCCCTCTTGAGGAGAGGTGAAAATTCTGGACTATTAAGGGGTAGATCAGGCTAAGTATTGGGTCAGATGTATAAGACCATAACCCTGATCACTGCTCCTTATTGTATTTTATGCAGTGAGAGTGTTACTAGTCTCTTTTTTTTCTTTTCTCCCAGTGGCATTGGTGGTGGTCTTGAAGTTTTTTTTGGGCATCAAGTCCAGGTTGACTCTACAAATACTGAAAAAAAAGAAACCCCTTCATTTGTCTTCTTTGGGGTGGGAGGGAAGATAATGCTAATACAAGACTCTATTTGATTAACCTCTTGAAACAAATTAGCCAAATGTGCCCTGAATGACTACATCAATAAATTAGATAAAGTTAGTTGTAGGAGGCAATAAGCTTGCAAAATCACTGCAATTCATGTTGCTAGCTTGCCCAACCTCTGAGGTAAAAATCTAAGGAGGAAACTGGTTCCCCAACACAAATCACAGGACTTGCCTGGACTGAGTCTTCTAACCATGACTTATGCATTGCTGCTATGCATGGACTGTGGGTGTGCTTGAATGACCCATTGTTTCTTTTGAACAGGGAACATAGTTTTGTGTTTCACATGAACTGTGTGTGTGTGTACATGTTCTTTTTATCCTTTCACTTTGAATTCATTGCTTTTTTTTTTAATACTTCTCATCATTGTTCTAGATTATTGTTCCATGTTAACATGGACAATTCATTCTGAGATGTTTATTCAACAAGGAAAAGGTGGAGGAGGAGCGACCACTCCAATAGTTACAGCCTCATAAAGAACTCAGAACTAATACGGGTTGACAGTAACACTTAGTCTATGGAGAATCCCAAGGGGCTCTCTAGAATAAGAATTATGACATCAATAAATAGATTCCTTCTGGAAAGAATTGGCTGAGGGATACTTGTAGGGCTGTCTTAACTATGTGAACCATTCGTTATTAATCTAAGGTTAGTGGGGGCAGTTTTTGTGTGTGCTCTGATAAAATCAGGAGAAACTTTTTATGTTGAAGCAGAAGAGGTTAGATGGGAAGAAAATAATATTTCTCATAGGAAGTGAGAGCCAATACCCTCTGAATTTATAGATTTGATTTCTCTAGCAGAAATATGACCACTTGCTAAACTTGGGATTGAACAGTCTCATCTGGTGGTAATCCCCAACTGAGCCTTGTTCTTCACGTCCTGAGTTATGCACTGTCTTTAAATTAATTAATTAATTTATTATTTTACATTTCAGAGACATCCGATTTTACACTGTTAGAGTGGTATTCTACATTGTTTCTGTTACTGTGAGAAAACACTCCAACCAAGACCAACTTTGGGGAGGGAAGAGTTTGTTTCAGCTTACATTTCCAGTATATATCATCATTGAGGGAAGTCAGGGTAGGAATACATGGCAGGAAGCATAGACAAATGCTGCTTACCAGTTCATTCATTGGGTCATCTAGCTTTCTTATACACAGCAGGCCCACCTTTCTAGGAATGGTTCTACCCACAGTAGACTGTGCTCTCCACGATCAATCATCTGTCAGGTTCAGACATGGCCATAGGCCAGTCTGATTGAGACAGTTCTTTAAATGAGGCTCCCTCCTCCCAGTTGATACTAGGTTGTGTCGAGTTGATAATAAAAACTAGCCAGGATCGGAGGCAAATGTACCTATCCAAGAATGATTCCTAGGAAAGACTGTGTGCATTCCTGAATCACTTACTTCTTCTACTGTGTGAGGCCTGAGGATAGAGCCCAGAGGGCTGGAGTTAGTGGGAAGTGCCATTACTCACCGAGCCATCTCCCTGGCCTTCAAAATGAAGTGCTCGAAGAACATCCTGGTTTAGGGTGATGTTTCTTTAAGCAGATACTAGCAGTAGTTTTAAGTTATTTTCACGCTGTGTGATGTCTTTTCAGATCAGGAGCTTGTTGTCACTTAAAAAAAAAAGCTTTACTTTAAAAAAAAGAAAGAATGAAAGAGAGAGAGAGAGAGAGAGAGAGAGAGAGAGAGAGGGGAGAGAGAGAGAGGAAAATAAAAACAAAGAAAAAAGGAAGGGTATCTGTGCAAGCCCTTGCTGCACAAACCTGGTGGCCATCACCCAAGCTCCATTCCTGGAACCCACAGAAAGGTAGAGGGAGAGAATCAACTTCACAGACTTGTTTGTCTTCCATAAGCATTTGGTGGGAGCCACCTCCCCACAACACACACACACACACTCACGACAGACAGAGACAAAGAGACGCATACATGCTAATAATAGATAAAATCAATTACAAAAAGAAGCCCACAAATTCTGTAAGTTAGAGGAAGATCCTGGTGTCCACTGACTTCAGATGTCACCACCTAGTGAGCTGTTAGGTTTGTGCCATGTCATTAGAAGAGAGAACTCTTCAGCAAAAACAGAAGACTGTTTTTTGCTTGCTTGTTTGTTTGTTTAATGTGTTTTATTTATTTTTTAACTGTTGTTATTCTTGGTTCGGAGCATATGCGTTTGGACCATTCACAAAAGTATTAACTGTAATAATGCATTTTATTTATAATTTATTTTTAGATTTATTGATTTTTATCTTACATGTACACATGTTTTGCCTGCATGTATGTATGTGTATCACATGAATGCCTGGTGCCCTCAGAAGTTCAGAAGAGGGCATCACATTCCTGGAACCAAAGTTATGGATGGCTGTGAGCCACCATGTGGCTGCTTGGAAACCCAATCCAGGTCTTCTGCAAGAGCAACAAGTGCTCCCCATCACTGGAGCATCTCTCCAGCCCCAAGTTTTCTTTTATTTCTTTAATCGATAAACACCAAATAAACCAATCATGACTTTTAATTCTTATCTTTTAATACAATGAGCTAAGTAGATGTGACCTTTTGTCAAATAAAAGCCGAGGCTACCTGACAGTCTCTGTAAGTGAGGTCTGCTCTATACCCAAGGTACTGAACTTAGAGTGTTGTCCTTCATTTAAAGTTCTTAAAATTGGGGCTGGAGAGATGGCTCAGAGGTTAAGAGCACTTCCTGTGTTCAATTCCCTGCAACCACATGGTGGCTCAGAACCATCTATAATGAGATCTGGTGCCCTCTTCTGGCTTGTAGGCATACATGCAGGCAGAATGCTATATAGATATAATAAATAAATAAACCTTTTTAAAGTTCTTAAAATTTATGAAAATATAAAATTTCACTTTGAATACACATATCAAAACTGATTTGGAAACAAAGTGAGGCGACTTCCTAGTGTAGTCAACTCACTATCTACATTGTTACATATCTACCAGGCTGAGGAGGCAATCCTCTCCTGAGATAGGAAACGTCAGGGTCAGCCTGAGCGCCACAAAGGGAGTGGAGCTTTCACACTTAGGTCTGGTCCTTTTGTTCTTTTTTGCACTCTTTCCATTGCCGCCGCCGCCTCCTTCTCCTCTTCCTCCTCCTCCTCCTCTTCCTCTTCATTGTTTAAATTTAAAAATTTTAAAAATAAATTTAAAAAAAAATTAAAAATTTTTACTATTTTTTTTTAAGTTACCTTCACATTCCACTGTCCTCTCCCCATTCCTGTGTTTACACAGTTGTGGTTCGGAATATGGAAGGCTGTAACTCTAAGGAAAATCCATTCAAACATTTTTCTTGTTTTATTTGTCAAGGAAGAATTTGCATCAGAGAGCCCTACTACTTCCTTTTATTCGTTTTGAATCTTAATGAATTTACAACCCTTGAGGAATTTAATTTTTTTTTTGAACATAGTGTTCTCCAACAGAAGTAAGGTTTGTGTGGGGTGGTCCATGCTTGGCTCCTCTGGTGGGTAAATGTAATTTCACAGATGGGATCATTCTCAGGTGGGTAAATATTCTCCCAGGGTATGTTCCTGGCTCTACCCAGTCCCCAAACACCCCAATCTGTACAGTAACTTGGCTGAGTGAACCCTGGGGGCTTGTCTGTGCCTTTTTGTTCTAGATACATTTCATCTTGCTCTTCAGTCGACAAGGGAAGCTGCGGCTGCAGAAATGGTATACCACACTCCCTGACAAGGAGAGGAAGAAGATCACGCGGGAGATCATCCAGACCGTCCTCTCTCGCGGGCACAGGACCAGTAGCTTCATTGACTGGAAGGAGCTGAAACTTGTTTATAAAAGGTGTGAGTAACTTCATGAGAACCAAACTTTTCATTATCGTTTTTGCTCTGTTTTAGTTCTGAACACTTTAGATTGCAATACCAATCTCAGCGCTTTCTGAAATCTTTCACGAGTAGAGGCTAAGTATTTGCAACAAAGAGTGACCGCTAGTGAAGATCTCCATCGACATGTATCAGCTTCCGAGTGTTAGATGGATTCTGAATGCTTAAGCTGTGTGCTGAATCTGCACACAAGTGCTCTGTTAACATTTTGTGAACACAGGTTACATTCCCAGTGTCATTTCAATGACTGTAGATACAGCAGCAAATGAATGAGACAGATTATGTTTCTATTTTCAAGAAGCACATTTTTTAAGCAAACCACATATATCCACCTAGTAGCAAATGCTATGGGAGAATGCAAGTAAATGTGGCAGAGAAATGAGAATCTTTCCAATGGATTGCTCATACTATAGTTCATATTTGCAGATGGGTGAACTGAGGACGCACAGTGTAAGTAATTACTACCTAGTCACAGTAGTTGAATGATAATCAGTAAAGCCAGGACTCAAGTCCAGCTCTTTCTTCCTTTAGTGCCTAGATTTCTTTTGATGCACCTGTGTGGCAAGACCCTACTAGCAAGGAATCCTAATCTATAAATGAGAAACCTGAGGTTTGAGAGGTAAAGCCAGCTTTTCAATGAAGACTCAGGTAATGGATGCCTAAGTTAGGACATGGACATAGCTGGCCTGACCCCATGTCCTACATCAAACTACAGCTTCCCAAATGGGAAATGCACAGTGGAAATGCGGAGAGTGTTTTTAAAAAACAGTAAGAAAGGAATAGCGTGGATGGGCTGATATTATGGAGTCCACTACCAGGGAGTGCTTTGGAAAACAGCTTCTAAAAAACTGAATGTGAGAGACATGGAATGAGACACCATGTGAAGGCAGACATGGGAGTGTGGGCCCCTGAGAGCGTTGCTGAGGCAGACATGGGAGTGTGGGCCCCTGAGAGCGTTGCTGAAGGATTGTATATTAGAGACAATTTACAAACTGGACAGAAGCTTGAACAAACACCCTGATTACCATGGACCAGAGGAACATGCTTCTGATTGAAGCTCTTCAAGGTAAACTTCTGTTGAGAGCATCTGTTGACGTGATTAACAGATATCATCTAGGCACTGCAGCAGTTTTATATACTCTGGTTTCTACTTGAGGACTGTAGTGCACACCACGAGCAATGATTTTTATCCTTGTATGGGGAGAATCTATAGAGAAAGCAGGAGGATGCACGCCCATAGAGAAAACCCACTTTGGCTTATTTGTTGTCTCATTCAATTTTGCTTTTCCTTATTTTTTTTCTTTTCAAGGTATGCTAGTTTATATTTTTGCTGTGCAATAGAAAATCAAGACAATGAGCTCTTGACACTAGAGATTGTTCATCGTTATGTGGAGTTGCTGGATAAATACTTTGGAAATGTAAGTGTCTTCCTGGCCCGTTAGAGTCAGCATCCATCGGTTCTTGCTTTTGCTCATCTCCTGTATTCCTTTTCTCTCTCTAAAATCTAAACTATCAATTGCATTGTACTGAGGATGGCGCTGGCTCACCTTGGTTTAGGATTACAGGATTCCTCCCTACCTGCATGTCTTAGTATGTGAACCACTCCAAAAGATGTGGGTGCATCTTTACCTTCACATTGCAAAGACCTTGTTTCAGGGAACTTGACTTTAATTGTGAATGATCTCTGGTCCCTTACTCCTTACTGGCTTTGCCATTTCTTTTCTGTTTGACATTTTGTTCCTTCTCTGGCATTGTTTAAAGTTACAATATTATTAGTACACAAGGAACAGTAACAACAACCCAAACAAGCAAATGTCCCCAATCCAGTCGCTTTTAAAACCTCATTTGCATTTATTTCAGGAACAGATGCAATGATCTCTCACAGCTGCTCCCATCTTCAGACATATTCACTCCGTGCCAGCTTGCAGCTGGGCCCCATCTTACCACTTCAGGGAGTTGCTTAGTTACACTGAGTCCTCTATACCACTATATTCATATTTCTTCAGTCTTAACCTGCTTTGCCTTCTCTGGAGCACTGGATTTTTATTCATCCTTTAAATCCCTCCCCACTGTTTTTGACTATGACATTGCTTTCTGCTGCATCAGGAGGCGCCACCCTGATTTTCTTCTTCCTCTGACTTCCCTAAACCCGCTCCCATCTTCTAAATGCTGTGCATCTTTTCCCACCTGCCTAATGTGTCTGTGGATTCTTTCAAAGAATCTATTGCCAAGTGACTCTTCTTTGCTTACCCAGTGATGATCTTCACTGATCAAGTGCTATGTCCATCCTTTACCAACGTATTGTGTCTGGTGGTTGAAATTTGCTATTTCCTAGAATCCTTCAATGCAAAAGATAGGATTCTTTTTTTTTTTGCCTTTCTTTCCTTTCTTTACCTATTACTAGAACCTACCTGACTCTTTAATTTAAACTTAAAGCTCATCTCTTTCATTTCCATCTCACTAGCTGACTTAGGGTTTCTATTGCTGCAGTGAATCACCATGATCTAAAATCAAATTGGCGAGAAAAGGGTTTATTAATTAGGCTTACATGTACATATTACTATTGAAGAAAGTCAGGGCAGGAAGTCAAACAGGACAAGACCCTGGAGGCAGGAGCTGATGCTCTGGCTTGCTCAGCATACTTTCTTATATAACCTAGGACCACCAACCCAAGGTTAGCACCACTCACAATGGGCTGGGGCCTTCCCCATTGATCACTAGTTGAAAAAAAAAAATTGCCTTACAACTGGATCTCATGGAGGTGTTTCCTCAACTGAGGCCCCTTTGTCTCTGATGAGACAAAGTTGACACAAAACCAACAGTGCACTAATGTAGCTGGTGTACTTGAGGTTTTACATTTAGCTTCTTATTTGGCCATTTCTACCCCTATACCCTTCCTTGCTTCTAGGCTTGGCCTGTTGGTAAATACCTTTTTTGTTTTTTATAAAACACAGACCTAGGTGGAACATTATTCCTCATTACCAGAAAACTCCACACCTCCTAGGCTCTAAGGCAAGCTTTCAGAACAGTGGTAACAGACAACTCCTCCTCCCTTGCTGTGTTCTTTCCGTTGTGTTCCTGTCCTCAGCAACATCCGAGGTCATGCAGTAGCTTAGAGTATCCTACCCGGTGCAAGAGCTGATGCAATGCAAACCTGGCCCTTTACTGGGGTCATGACCTTTGACCTCTGCCCATGCCTCACCACTCATAAATACTTCCGGGCCAGATTTTAACAGATGCCATCTAGACACTAGTAAAATACACTGTTGTAGGAAAGAAAGCTATCAGAGCTGGAAAAGGTTCCTCCAGCAACGTTCTTAGCACATTCCCGTGGTCATGGACATTTATCAAGTGATGTTCGGAGAATTTGCTTCCAGATTTTTTTTTCTTTTTATTGGGAGTTTTATGCTTTCTACATACTTATTCCAAATTTATTTATTATCTATTTATTTAATTACATCCCAAATGCTGTCATTCCCTCCTGGTCCCCCTCCACAGAGTCCCTTCCCTAACGACCCTCCCTTTTGCCTTTGAGAGGGTGGGGCCCCTGGGTATCCCCCTGCCCTGGTGCATTAAGTCTCTGCAGAATTGGGTTCATCCTCTCCTGCTAAGGCAGGACAAGGTAGCCCTCTGCTACACATGTGCCAGGGACCTCTGTCTAGCCCATGCATGCTCTTTGGTAAGTGGCTCAGTCTCTGAGAGCTCCCATGGGGTCCAGGTTAGATAACATTGTTGGTCTTCTGTGGAGTTCTCATCCCCTTCAGGACCTTCAATCCTTCCCCCAACTCTTCCATGAGAGTCCCTGTCCTTTGTCCAATGTTTGGCTGTGGGTATTTGTATCTGTTTGAGTCAGCTGCTGGGTAGAGCCTCTCACAGGACAACATGCTCTTGTCTGTAAACATAACAGAGTATCGTTAATAGTGTTAGGGATTGGTGTTTGTCCGAGGTGGGATGGGTCTCAAGTTGGGCCAGTTATTGGTTGGCCATTCATTCTCTCAGTCTCTGTTCCATCTATCCCCTGTCCCTGAATTTCTTGTTGACATGACAAATTTAGGGTTGAAAGTTTTCTGGGTGTGTTGGTGGTTTTATGCCAACACTGGGGTCCTGCCTGGCTACAGGACGTTGCCTCTTCAGGTTCCATATCCCCACTGCTATACATCTCAGCTAAGGTCACCTGCATTGACTTCTGGGAACCTCCCCCATCCCAGGTCTCTGGCATGTCTTAGAAATGCCTCCCAACTCTCCACCCCTGCCAGCTACAGATTCCATTCATTCTCCTGGCCCTCTGAGCCTCTCCTGTCTCTTTCCAAACCTGATCCTGATCCTAATCCAGCCTCCCCTATTCCCCTCCTCACCCCCTTCCACCCAAGTCCCTCCTTCTCTGCCTCTCATGACTATTTTATATCCCACTTCTAAATGGGATTCAAACGTCTTCAGTTGGGCCTGCCTTCATTTAACTTCTTTGGGTCTGTGGAGTGTATCATGGGTATTCTGTACCTTATCTACTTAATCAATGAGTATAGTGAATGCATGTCATCTTGAGTCTGGGTCACTCAGAATGATATTTTCTAGTTCCATCCATTTGCCTGCAAAATTCATGATGTCCTTGTTTTTAATAGCTGAATAGTATTCTTTCTCTGAAACTGAACAGACAACATTTTTTTTATCATTGGATCATTGATATATATACATCAATATATATATATATCAATATATATATATATATTTTTTTACGAGTAAGGGGTAGTTTCTGGGACAAGATCTCTCTGTATAGCCTGGGCAGTCCTGGAAATTGCTTTGTAAATTAGTTTGGCCTTGAACTCAGAGATCCTCCTGCCTCTTGCGGGATTAACAGCACACCCAGCTTTTCTTCTTTTTTTCAACAGACTTCACAATAACAAGTATTGAGAGGGCTTCTATATGAATTTTCTCCCTCTTCTTTCCCATGTAAATGATGTTATAACATATTGCTTGGGAGTCTTCAGTTATTGTCAATATTCAAGAATAACCCCATGTCTTCCTGACACAACAAATTTTATTTTTTTTTCAAAGCAGGGCATATATAGTAGCAAGTTTTAAAACATGGAATTATTTAACTTCCTGCTTTCTTTTATTCTAATGAATTCTGACATTTTTGGTACTTTCCTTTGAAATGAACTACAGACAGGGCCCTTTGCAAAGGGCATGAAGGTGTTTCTGGAAGTCTGAGCTTTTGTGTACTCTCCCCTCTCTTCCTCATTTCTGAACTCTGGTTTCGCCTGTTGTTTCTCTGGTTTAAACCAACTGCAATCATGTGACTTGAGGCTGAATTTTGATCTCTCTGTGTTTAACTGAAATTCAACCAGATATTTCAGACCACATCATTTCTTAAAAGAATTTCAAGACATCTCCACCAGTATCTAGGCCCAGAGAGAGCGTAAAGAGGTTCGGAATAACTTCCTGCAGCTGTAGCATTGATTCTCCATCCAATTCTGGTACACCTCTAGAAGCTCTATCTTTGTCATGAATCAAAATTTTAATTCACTAAAACATTCGATGAACTTTTCATTAAGCTAAGAGCACTTCAGGGCTCTATGCCCAATAGGTGTTCAATTTTTATTAATTAACGGTGATGACCAAAGGCTTCTGGGACTGATCCTCATTGACATCATCTCAGAAATAAGATATTTCTCTTTTGATTTATTTTCCTCTCATACTAATACCAAAGATTTCATTGAGTTCAGCCCTTATATTATGCAAGGGGAAAGTTATACCTTGAAAATACTGTATTTTGAAGACAGATAGATCAAAATCTCTGGTTCCTAATTTGAGTGATGTATTTTATAGTGTCTTTCAATTCTAAGGAGATTATCAAGGATTGAGCAGTTAATCTTTCAATCTTCAGTAAGTAGCATTAACCCCAATTTACAGATGCTAAACAGAAATGCCTTGGGGTTTCGAAGTAGATAAAGGGATTTAGACATTTGCCATATTTCCATTCTGCATTGCAGCATGAATTTTGATTGATGTATTTTGAGTGTGTGGATGCTTCTGTCCCAGGAAGCTTTTGAATCTGACCTAGGAAATTTTTCTGTTATGAGAGGAAGGGCATTAAGTGTCTTGACCCTCGTGTCTGCTTACTTAGTAACCAGATCCAAGATTTCAGACCTTCATGAATCTCCCTCTCACTGATGAGGATATGACACTAAAAATGCTGATAAAAAACATTTATTTTGCTAAATACATGGGCTACTGTGATAGTAAAGACAGTGGTTAGGAAAAGTATATAAACTATTGATTGTTAGTCATATGTTGCATTGCAACTGGTTTTCATGTCTAATTCTGTAGTATTTCTTACTATCTGAAACATTTCCTTTGTGTACCTTGAAACTTCATGTATTTACTTAAAGAGGAGTTCAAGGGCAGATGCTTCTTATCT